GATGAGAGAAAAATAAATTGAATTAGCTGGGATAAAGTGTGTAAAAAGAAAGAAGAAGGAGGTTTAGGTGTGAGGTACTTGAGGAAATTCAATTTGGCATTGATGGGTAAATGGTGGGGAAGGCTTGCAGAAAATGGGGAGGGCATGTGGAAAAAAATTATTGTTGAGAAGTATGGAAAGGGAGGGGGTCATTGGCAGGATTGGATAGATGAAAATAGAGGAGTAAGATCAACTTGGTGGAGGGATGTGTGTGGTATCAACACAATGGATGGGGGCAGCAATGGATGGCTAAAAGAGGGCTTTAGGGTCAATATTGGGGAGGGTAACACTATCAGTTTCTGGTGGGATAAATGGAGGGGAGAGGAGTGTCTTGCTAATATGTTTCCAAGACTATATCTTTTATCTACAGAGAAGATGAAGATGTGCAGTGAAATGGGAAGTAGAACAAATGGTTTGTGGGAGTGGAACTTAACTTGGAGAAGGAATTTGTTCGATTGGGAAAAGGAAGAGGCAATGGAATTACACAACACAATTCAAAGCGTGCAGACTTCACAAGGATGCATGGATAGCTGGGAGTGGACCCACAGCAAGGATGGCCAATATTCAACAAAATCAGCATATGCAATTTTAACAAAAGAGGAGAGGGAAGCAACCGAAATCACAACCTTCACAAGAATTTGGAACTCCGTTTTGCCAAACAAAATCTCGACATTCAACTGGCAATTACTATTAGATAGGATTCCAACTAAAATGAACATGTTAACAAGAGGGATCATCAAAGACATTCAAGATTGCAAGTGCGGAATATGCGGTGAGGAAGAAGAGGACACAAAGCATCTGTTTCTAAAATGTAACATGGTCCGATGGTTATGGATGGCTTGTGCAAAATGGTGGGGTATTAAAGTTACATTGGAAGCGGACTGCTAGAATACCTTTCAAGTTGCTGGAAGAGAACCAAAAGAGAAATGTATTAGAGATGGATGGGATTACATTTGGAATTCTCTAGTGTGGACAGTGTGGCTGGCCCGAAATCAAAAAACATTCCAAGGCAAAGAGATTAACCGGGAGAAGCTGCTGGAACTCATCCAATTAAAGTCGTTCCATTAGATCACAGCAAAAAAAGAAAGGTATGCCTTCACTTTAACGGACTGGTTTCTTAATCTAGTTGCATGCTTGAAAGATTGCCATAGGAAAAGAAGGGTACCAAATGAATAATCTGTGGGAGGGGATGGTATTGATGATATCTGGAAGGTCTATCTATGTTTTTTGCTTCGAAAGGTTGAATTGTTGTATAATGGGGGCTCATTAAGGCTTATTGTGCAATCATTGACTGTAGTGGATTTTAGCTGTAGTCAGTGCATGATCAATGTCTTGAGGGTCAGTGGGTGTGATGGGCGATGGTTTGTTGATCTGAATAGGGAGACTTATTGAGAATGCAAAAGAAGGCAGAATCCCCGGCACGGGTATAGTTCTGACACTTCATTAGGGTGTCGACACCTTGTGTTAACTTTTGATGTTAATGAGTTTGGAGTACCCCTTGTATTCCGCTTATTAATAAATAATATGTTTGCTGTTCAAAAAAAAAAAAAAAAAGCCATTAATATCAATTGTCTACATTACTTTACAGCTGAAATTATTGTGCTACCCCAAATAATGCTGTATGATCAGTGTATGTGGCTGGTTAGTACACTATTTTTCTATTTAATATTTTACAGTTTAATATGATCTAAATGTAACTATAGTATAAGGGTATTTGAGAGATCTTAAAAGGCAGGTTTGCTTAAACAAATTCTTTACTCATAAATTCAAAATTTTGTTGGAGGAAAATTGGACAATTGGTTTTCAAATGAACTTACCAAGTTATGAAAAAAAACTATAGATGCTACTTTAAAGTTCGATTTTTTAATTTCCTTCTAATAAATTTTGAAATTTGTGAAAGAAAATTTTACTTAAAGCAAACTTGCTTTTTAAAATTCTTCCAAACAGCATTTATACAGTATAAGAATATTGTAAAAAAATATAGTGTAAAATGCTGGGAATCATGACATTATGAAACCCTGAATTCAGTGTATCCTCTGATTGCATGAGTATGTAGCATAAGAGGCTATAGCCACACCAAGTGCAGTTATATATTCTGGTGATTAATTTTTTCGAAGTTCTTTTGTAATGATACTACTTAAGACTATCATTATTCATTACTTTTAACAGAAACATCCTCGCATTGTCATTTTATTTTTTAAATCTTTGCATTTTGTTTCCTCTCACTTAATCTTGGGGGGAGAAAGCAGCTGGAAAGCGCAAAACGGTTGATGGATTGATGAGGAGCGAGAACGTGGGGAAGCTCCCATGGAGAAAAATACGGAGGAAAATAATGGTAAAAATAAATAAATAAAAGTTTGTGCATTGATAGTGGGCTTAAATCTTTGGGCTGGTTCGTTCTGTAGCCTAAGGCTTTGATACTGAAGTCTTTAGTAATATTTTTTAGGTGTTGGTAGTGAACGGGTGGCTATTTTTTTGGTCAAATTACAAAAAGTTAAACTTGTGAAACTTTTTTGAAAAAACTAGGATTAGTTAAGGTTAATGTTAATGCAGCTAAGGGCGTTTCACTGGTTAAGGGCAAGAGCAGGTGGTGTGGGTTTAGTTTTTCAGATTTAATGTTGGAACCAAGAATGTTGAGACGGCTGTACGACTACTCACTGTAATGTAGAATGGTTGGTGAGTTTGAGTACCGTTGTACTCAGAATGAGATAAATATTAATTTTTTACTGTTTAAAAAACATTAATAATTTTTTATTAAAGTAATTGATAAATAAATGTATTTTTTATTGTAAATTTTTTTATTAGTGAATGTTTTACTTTCACCATATTTTATCTTTTTCTTCTTTCATATTTTAACTTATTTTCATTAGAGGTTATTCAAAGCCCTACTTAAGTATTATTCATAACTCCACTAAGTTGTCATTCATGACTCCAATAAGATGTTATTTATATCTACATTTAATCCTATTTATTAGTCACTTATCTGCATTTAGTCCTATTCATTAGTCAAGGTAGTTCCCATATTTGACAAAAACCCTTTTTAAGCCCCAAAACTTATCCCAAAATTGCATTTAAGCCCCTAAACTAAAAATGAAATAGATAAGCTCGTCAACTCTGCTAATAATGCAAATAAGCCTTTTGCACAAATTAGCCAAATGGTATTTTGTGTTTAATATCATCTTGAAAGCATGGAACACCCATGAATGAGAAGGGTTTGTTTGCATCATTAGTGGAGTTGAAGGTTTATCTGCTTCATTTTTAGTTTAGAGGCTTAAATGATATTTTGGGGTAAATTTGAAGGCTTAAGAAGGTTTTTGCCCCCATGTTTCTCTCAACCTAGATATAAGCTTACAACTTTGTATGATGAATGATATGATAAAATAAGAAGTTACAAGTTCTCCTTCTTGTTGGTCCTACTCTTCCAAATTTCTACTGTTTTTGTTTCTTTTATATTCTTATAATTTATAACCTTATGCACTACGGGAAAAGTTTGAAATAGTCTTATTCTTATTTTAAAAATAAATTATTTTAATTTTTTTCAATAAATATTTATTAAAACGAGATAGTTAGAAGGGTATTTATTTTTGTCTTTAGGTATTCAAGTGATAAACTATTTTGCTTTAATATTTTTAAAATTATACTTTCACAATTTATTACCGTAAATAAAAACATCAATTTTTATTTTTTTTCATTCTCATTAATTACAAGTTTAAAATTGAAAAAATTAATATTTCTAGTAAAAAGGATAATGCGAGGAGTTACTAGATCTAGATTGTACTTAAAGAAACAAGGATATTACAGGTAGGAGTGGGCAAAAATATTTGCAACCAAATTCAAAATTCAAACCAATCGAAATCATAACTGAGAAATTGGTTTTGAATGGATTGTGAAGTTTCTCCCTAATTAAAAATTAAACTATACAGATCTTAAATAGTTAATTCTTAGTTATGAAGTTTGAAAATCAGAAAACTGATATTGGAGTGGGTATAATTGAATATCCAGTGCAAACCCTTTATATAATTTCTTTTATTTTAATAGTTTTTAGATTTGTTTGAGGTTTTCTTGTTGCTTTCTATTAAATTATTTATATATTTAGGTAATTTTTTAATAATTGAAATAAATAAAACAATAATTCATTAAAAAATATAAAAATATTTTTTTGATTAAAATAGAAATTGATCTGAATGTTTATTATCAGAAGAACAATCGAAATTGATAAAATTTGGTTTTTCCAATTTGATTTGTGGTTTTTAAAATTAGGTTTTTTTTTATTCAATACATTTATTATACCTTTTCACAATTAATTTGTATCAAAAATCATGAAAATAAATTTTATTTTCAATACCAATGTCATGTGAAAAATTTTAATTGGACAATTTACAAATTTTAAGTCAATTTATATTATTTTCATACAAATTAATAGTAAAAATATACATTAAATATATTTTAAATCTGTACTTTAAGAGTAGAGATTAAAAAATTTATTTAAAATTTAATAACTAAAAATTTTATTAACTAATAATTCAATTTCTATTATAACAAAAACTGAACCATGTCCACTCTAGTTATAGGTTGTTGATCCCAAAATTAGCATTCAACAAGTGGCCCCACCAACCTCCAAATTGAGAGCCCAAAATTAGGGGTGTGCGGGAAAAGTCTGTACCTGAAAAAAATTTCCAAATTGACTGAAACAATAATCCACATGTAAGGTTGGATTGGTGGTTTTTTTTTTTTTTTTTTTTACTACTAAAAACAACAAAATGGGTGTTAAACAGTTTGGGTTTTAATTGTAAGATTTAAAAATTTAAAAATCGATGATTATGGTGAATATAATAAAAAAAATCTGTCAAAAACTTTTCATATAAAATTTTTAATTATTTTTAGATTTTTTAAGGTTTTTTCTTCAATTTTCACCAAATTATTTATTTGAATAATTTTTAGTTTTGTAATTATGTGGTTAAATTTTTTTTTCTTTTCACTAAATTATTTATTTTTCTTCAATTTTCACCAAATTTTCAGTTTTAAAAATAATTGTGTGGTTAAAATCAAAACCAATCCAAATGGTTTTTTTTTTAAATGTAATCAAAATTGATAAAATTTATTTTTTTTGACTTGGTTAATGATTATTAAAATTCAATACCTAAAATTTTGGTTAAGAGAATAATTGATATACATTTTAGTTTAGCACATTGAACAACACATTTATTAAAAAATTATTATTTTCAAGTAAGAAATTAAAGGTAAGTTTAAAAATATAACCATATATATAAGATGCAAAAACCTACTAAATCAATTTATACTTATATTATATTTTAATAATTAAACCAAAATAAATATTAAAAATGTGTTAAATCAAATGCATACCAATAATTTTTCTTTTAATTAAGTAATAACTTAATTTTGGATACAATCAAAACCGACCTTACCCACCCCAAAATGCCAACAGCATGACAAGGGACAGTATCACAAGACCAATTCACCTAAAACTACCAAAACCCAGCCTCAACCGGCCACTTCCAATAAAAGCAAAATTTTAAAATCATATTGAGAAACCTTCTTTTAAAATCATTTTTTTAATCCATAAAAAATCACATTTTTTAAAATTTTTATCCACCAATCAAATTTCCTCAGCAACTTTCCTTGTTTTTTTTTTTTTGGATATATTTACTTCGCAGCTTTAACAAAATGAACGAGTGACAATTTCTATAAAGGGGGGTTTTATAAAAATAATTCTAAATTGTAGTAGCTTTGAAAAATATTTCTAGCAAAGCCATGAAATCTTAAATTGTTTCAAAATAGTACCTACAATTATAACTTTAACCTTATCTTATTCATTAAAATTTCTACGGCATCCCTTTTCTGCAAAAACTCAATTTTATAATTCAACTTTCCTTGCAATCATTTGACACGACTAGCCATCGTTAGACTTCATGTTCCCTATGCTCCAAAAGTTTTGATTATAAGCCATTTGTATTCAATTAAAAAATAAACCTCTTTGCCATATACGATCTATGAAGCAACAAAATAAAAAACAATCCAAAGAATTTTTAAGAAATGCACATTCCCTGA